CCCCAAAACCCCAAAACCCCAAAACCCCAAAACCCCAATCTCTAAATATCTCATTGAAGAGCTTTTAAATGGCCTTAGAGTCATTTCTTTCGGCTTTAAGCCAAGTTAAGGACCTGTAGTATTGAACTATGAAGTAGAGGATGATCAAGATCAGGAATGCTGCTAGATTTCCCACGCTCAAGTATTTACCTGATTTAGGAGACTTATCGTGAGGGAAGATTATGTACTTTTCTTGTGTCTCTTCAGCAACTTGGATAATTTTAGTAGTCAATTGTAAGCTTGGATTAAGAATAGGAGAGTCGTTCTCTAATCCAATTTTTCTATTTTCATACAGGAGATCTTCTGGAGGATATGTCTTCATTAGATCTTCAGTAAGAGCAACGATCTTCTCAAGATCAAAATTATCGGTACCTAACTTTTGGAAAATCAAGTGAAGAGAGGCGATGTCTCCTTCCTCAAGATCTTCCAGTTTATCTTTGTTGTGGATCATAGTGGCTGCAGCCAAATAGATTGATGCAGTAGGGTGGGAGGCAGTGCAATAATCAAAAATCCTGCAGATGTCCTCTGAGGAGTTTAGGTTATGGGAGAACCAAGTGATTATCCATGAGACTGCAAATGGTGGAATTTCAAGGAAGCTAATCTTCTCATACACTTCCTTATGGGTTACTTGAATAATCTTCATCATTAACATCAGAGCTGGATTAATTCCTTTGTCAAAGGAAAATTTGAAGAAATCTTTGATAAAATAGTTTGAGATAGAAATAGATACATGGAATGCCATGTTTTCATCGAAAACCATGAGAGGGACGGAACATATGTCATGAAATCCCTGGTAGTAGAACCAGTCTTGGTTTATTTGAAAGATAGAGTTCATCATTCTTGATAATTGACTAATTTTGTTTTTAATTCCAACTGAGGTGAAATGTTTGAAAGATCTGTTGACGTCTTTGTCGATTTGATTAGCTGTCTTTTCATCTTCCAGATTTTGATGTTTGTTCCAGCTTTTATCCTTATCAAATATAATGAATTTTGGAGTAGTCGTATTGTCATCATCGAGATCTTTTACTTTAACCTTATCATGGATGTTAAGGAGGATCGGCCAAGCCTTACTTTCTAATGGAAGAATCTACAAGGCCGAATTCGGATATCTATAGAGCTTAGCAGATCCAAGATAAGGTCCTTACACAGTGCTCTCTGAGTTCACGGATGTTAATTGGCTTATGATCCAAAACATCTTTGATTCTCTTCTTCTTGTCTTCTTTCCCTTTCATGTTTTTTGCATCCTTTAATGCATTGTTAAGACTATCTTTGGGATTATCCATTTTTTACTTTTTTATTTAATATTTATTTAATTTAATGATAGTACTGGATCATTGGGGTTTTGGGGTTTTGGGGTTTTGGGGTTTTGGGG